TTGGGCATGTGGTCTCTTTTGTGCTCCTCTCCTGCATGTCCCTTTGAACAGAAAAGGTCCAGATATGCTAGGGCTGATGCATTTGTTGAGTCTCACACCCAGCAGGGTTTTTGCCTCTTCCCCGAAGTTGGCTGTGAGGTGTCTAAGCCTGACTTTTCCTCTGAGGTGCTTACCTGGTGCTGAGGATTTGAGCACCCAAGACTGAGAGGTGAAAGGAGATCTCAGAGATGGGCTGGCCCATTTTACAGAAGAGGAAACAGAAGCCCTGAGAGATGAGCAAAGCCAGCCAGAGGCAGAGCCAGATGGGAACAAAGGTTACCTGACGCCCAGTGCAGCTCTTTGGCTAGGCCTGTCCCAGGAAGGCTCTGGGAGCTTTCTGCTGCATCGCTCCCACCCAGAAAATGGTGGGACTTCGTGATGTCATCCAGTGACTGACCACCCCTCCCCCTCGCAAGCTTGTGATTAGCAAATGTCAACCAAGAGAAAAAGGTTTATGGGCCAGAGATGAGCAATGGAGCGTTGTCAGAGTTCAGGGGAAATACTGGTTTCCACCGAGGAGCAGCCATTTTCCAGAGACAGCTCACCGAGGGCTCCCTTCCTCCCATAGCTACTCAGTCTGGCTCCCACAGGGGATGCAGACTGTCCTCTGCCGCTGACCCCAGCTCCCAGCCAGTGTCCCCATGACTATCTCTGAAGCGGCCAACAGGCAGAAGAGTAAAGACTTCTCCCACATTTGGCCTTTCTCAGCCTGGCTTCAGGGTTCTGGTGTCGTGCCAGTTCTGAGCCAAAGCCCAGATGCTGGGTAAGGGTGGGGAGGGTGAAGCCTTCCCTTCCAAACCTCTCCTGTGCCACTCTAGTTTCCTCAGAACTTGGGCCTTACACATACATTTGCCCAGCAAGTGTGTCCTCCTGGTTTTCCTCTGGTTCTCTGTCCTTGACAACCAGATGGGTCATAGGGCACCATTCACAGTCTGGTGTCCTTTTTGCCCCAGAGCCTGGCCAGAGGTCTCCCTGCTCCTGGCAAGTCCTCCCAGGGGTCTCAGGGATAATTTGGAGAGCCCCAGAGTTTACTCCCAAATGTTCCTTCAAGCTAATGAATGCTTGGGGGAGCTGACTGGGAGGGGTTATTCAGATGGCCCTATGACAGCTAGCATGGGCAGGGGAAGATGAGTGTACCATCTTGAAGCTCCATCTGGGAAGAGAAAAATCCATTGATGGTTCCTGATGTGCGTATGGCAACAGAGTGCTCCCAGAAATGAGCCTTCTACATCAGGGAGTGAGTGGGGTGTAATGGACAGGTTGTCCGACAGGAGTCAGGAGTGGCCTCACTTTGAATGAGTCGCTGATCTTTACTGCTAGTGTGGCTGTGGGTAAGTCATTCAACTGCTCTAAGCCTCAGTTTGCTCATTGATGAAATACGGATAATGACAACGCCAACCTCAGTTTCCTCATCTGTTAAATAGGGGTAATAAGAGCACCCATATCACAGGGTTGTGTGAGGATTGAACAAGATCGTATTTGTAAAGGACTTTTCACACCTTAAAACTCTACAGAAATGTATCCTAGTCTTCTTTTCCAGGCTTCTACTTTATTAAATCCCAAGCTCTTGACATGTCTGTGGAGTTCTGTGAGCACAATGAGTCATGTTGGAGTAACTCTTAGGTTAAACTTTGGTGAAATTTTTTAAAATTCAATTTTTTTTCCAGTGAATTAAAACCTATTTTCTTGCCCTCTGACCTGCTCTGCCCCAAGGAGAAAAAACAGAGAAACAAACCCCTCCTGACAAATAAGTGTAGTTGAGTAAAATGGATTTCCACATTGACCACGTCCCAAACATGCAAACGTGTACGCCTCACTGCACTCACTCCTGAATCCGTCATTCCTTGGAAACTCTGAAAAATTCTTTGTCTAAGTTACTTGTTACTACTTCCTTGTGAATGGAAACGTGTCCTCTCTCTCTCTAGTAACTGAACAGCTGAGCCTTGTCACTCGCTGCTCCCTGGGCTGGGCCCGGAACTCCTCGTGACTGCCTGGTGTGAACCTGAAGCCTTGGCAGCAGGGATGGGTGACGCGGGGCTGCTGTCACTTGTGCTTCTGATCTTCAGGCAGGCATGCAGACCCTGAGCCACTCTGCCAGCCGGGAGAGGAGTGGGCAGAGAGGGAGCTGAAATGGCCGGGAATTGGGGTTCTGGGGTCACTGCCTCTCTGGGAGTCACTTGTCTTCTGCTCTGGTTACTGTGTCATTGCCTGAGTAGGTGTCAGTGTCCACATGATACGTCTTCTCAACAGCTCCCACCTAACCTGGAATAGATGGGGCTGTTGCAGGAGTGGTCTGGGAGCTCTGGGGCCCAGCCATGGCTCTGCCATGTTCTGGATGGATGACCTTGAACAAGTGCCTTCCTTTCTTTTTCAGGGCCTCTGTGTCGGACCAGATGAATTTTAATAGTTCTCATAGCCAACCATTCCCCCAACCGTGCTGGCTGGGTGTGTCTTGTCACCCATCAAGCATGGTTGGTGTTGGGGCCACAGCCACAAGTTGGGCTGTTTGTTTTGACACTATGGCCACTTCCCCTTTCCCTGCCCCTCCCCCAACATCAGACCAAATCACACCACAACTAGGCTGAAGCATAGCCCTCCCACATGTCCTCAGCCCCTGCAGCCGGGTACCTGCCTTCCATCTGCAGTCCTCATTCTCCCGAGAGGAGAAGCGATTTCTTTGTCAGGTCCCAAGGACCCAGAGGGTCTAGGGGAATTCAGCAGAGTTGCATGGAGTTGCTGCTGCTTCCATCCCTGGTGGCACTGCGTCTGCTGTCCTTTCGGTGCTGTCTTTTCCACTCTGCACTCGTTTGGAGACACCTGTGAGGTGAGGGTATGTGGTACCAGGCTACGAACAGGACATCCAGGGACAAACACACTGGCCCTCACTCCTTGTTCTGCTGTGGTTCATCTCTTTGAAATGTTTCTGTCCCCAAGTTCAAAGGTGGTCTAGGCCATATGAGCGCTGCACCATTCTCAAAGATTGCCAGCCTTCAGGAAATGCCCTTTAATCGGCCCAGGGCCCACAATGAGGCAGCATTGGGAAAACGGCTTCCCTAACTTGGTTTCCCTCCTTTTGATTTCAACTGCACAACCTCTAAGCTTAGGTCAATCAATTAATAATCATTTAGTAAGTACCTACTGTGAGCCGTGCCCTGTGCTAAGTGCTGGGGATACAAAAAAGAGGTGAAAGATACTCTGTGCCCTCAAAGGGCTTACCATCTAGTGGGGAGATAACATGCAAACAAATAGAGAAGAATCAAGCTCTATCCAGGATGAACAGGAAATAATCAACAGAGGAAAGGCCCTAGAGGAGGCTTCCTGTAGACGGTGAGGTGTTAGGCAAATTGAGGCAAAAATAGTTATTGATGGCCTGATATTTATTATTAGTATGTAGTGATAAAGAAGCCCAGAACAACATTTAAATGAGGCCTAGGCGGGATAGGGATCATAGCCAGAGTCACCTCTGTGCTCTGAGGAAATGGGAGGAGCTGAGCTAGTGACGGGAAGGCCTTAAACAATCGTCTACCCCTTCTCAGGTAGATAGCACAATAGGTAAAACTGCTGGACTTGCAGTCAGGAAGACTCGACTTCATATGCTGCCCCATACACTTACTAGCTATGGGACCCTGGACCAGTCAGCCTTTGTGACTCAGTTTCATGAACTGTAAAATGGGTATCATAATAATAACGCCCACCTCCAGGTTTGTCGTGAAGATCAAATGCTGTAATATTTGGAAAGCTCTTTGCAAACCTTGAAGCACCATTTAAATGTTATTATTGCAATCGTCATCTCCATCATTACTATGACCATTACTGCTGCCACTCCTCCCACCACCGTCCTTACCCGCCATGAGCTTGTTGGTGCCTGTGCTTTTCCACCTGGGTTTCTCCTCCCTACCTCCTTTGTCTGCTTTCCCCAAACTTGAGTCAGTCTCTCTCTTCAAAACCGCTTTAACTACAAGATACACTGAGTCCTTTTCAGAACCTGCCCACCATCCAGCTCCCTTCAAAATGTTGGCTACCTGGCCAGCCGAGGACTCTTTTTTATCTGGGAAGATTTCCCAAAGTCTCTGGGATCCTCTGCCTCAGCAGCTCCTCATGTTTCCCTGAATTCCTCATATTTGTTGATTATGATGGTTCAATCTGTTATGTTCATCTCAGCCATTCCCCAACCAATGGGGCATCTCTTTTGTTTCTAGTTTTTCTATAGTATTTTTTCCTCCTTCCAAATACCTATATTGATATAACTAAAAAACCCACTGGAAATCATTTTAGAATGTTTAAGATGCACACCATGCCCACCAGATAGTATTTCTAAAGGGCTCTGCAAACCCCAAAGTGCGATATCAGTGCTAGCAATGATGATGGTGAAGATGATGATGATGATGACAGCCATGGTGGTGATGCTGGTGGTACAGCTCCATTCCAGTGAGGAGTCCATGAAGCTGAGGTCAGGGGTCTCTTTGGAACTCTCTATGGGGAGTCAAGAGTGGGGGTCTTTCAGTGTTTCTGTCTCACAGGGTGCTGACTGTGGGGTTGGGTAATACTCAGCTCCTACTCCGGGGAGTGTTGCCATTGGTGGGTAGGGTCTTCAGGCATGTTGGCCAGGCTCCCTTAGTAAGTGATGTTCTTATAGGTGTAGGTCTTATGAAGACGAAGCCTGTCTAGATTCCCTATGTGAGGACCAGAAGAACCTCCATCTGGGAAAGGCCAAGGAGGCTGAGTTGGCTCTGGACTCTTCTCCTTGGTGGTACAAGTTGGGGGTTTTAGGAACCTGGGAATTTGATTTTAATGCCAACCCTTCTTCCCCCTCACAGCTGCCCCTAAAGTCTTAGACTTCCAAAGTGTTAGGTGCCACAGAGAGCACAGGAACAGAAGAGGTTTCCCCTTGCCACTGAAAACAAGAATATTTTTTGGAATAAGCCTTGGATAATAACCTATTTTCCTCTTCTTTGTTTCAGGACACCAAGGGGGCTTTGTCCATTCTTTAAAGTACTTGAGCTCAAGAACGACAGAGAGACGGCTGCAGGGCTCATGTGTGCCCATTGGTCGAGGGGCCCACTGTGGGAAACCAGCCATGGGGGTCCAGAAGTCTGTGTGCCCTGTGTTCAGCCCCCAGAGTGGCTTCCATGCCATCCATGCGGAGAACAATTCCATGAAGCCTCGGGTGGTGACTGTGGTGAAGCCGGGGGGACATCCCCTCAGGAAGATCACCCTGATGCTGAACAGGAGATCAGTGCAGACCTTGGAGCAGCTGGTGGCAGACATCTCAGAAGCCTTGGGCTTCCCTCGCTGGAAGAATGACCGGGTGAGAAAACTGTACAGCCTGAAAGGCAAGGAAGTCAAGAGTGTGTCAGACTTCTTCCGGGAAGGAGACGCCTTCATTGCTACGGGAAGAGAGCCGTTGACGCTGAAGAGCATTCAGGCGGCCATGGAGGAGCTGTCTACTGGCAAGCCCCGCACCCTCACACTAGTTCAGCACGGCTGGGCGCCATCGCCACGGCCGAAAGGCAGGCTTTACAGCAAGGCCTTGAAAGCCGAGCAGCACCTAGGTGAAGCAGAGGTCGCCAAGAGCCGGAACCAGGCCTCCCTCCCCAAGGTGGGCACCAAGCCTGAGGGGAAAGCTCAGATCCAGCCGGGCCCTGAGGAGAGGCTGCGGACCCAGAAGAAGTGGGTCCCTGAGAAACATGGAAAGCCAGACAAGAAGGCTGGACAGGAGGAGATCCATTCCAATGGAGAGAAGCACCGGGACAGCCAGGTGGAGAAGAGCTCTGGGGAGATCACCAGGTGTGAGAAGTGTAAACAAGAGAGGGCCCTCCGTAGCACGCAGCAGCGGCCAAGGCTGGCAGAGCTCTCTCTGGGCAGCAGTGAGCTGGACCTGGGGAAGGACCCCAGGTATAATCCAGAAAGGATGGTGAGAATGAAGAGTTGCAGGGGACCACTGCGGAGGGCTTCTCCAGCTGGGGAGGAAGTCTGGTGGAAGGGGGGAGAGCTGGAGGAATAGCCCCAGGGCACCCAGCCTGGAGCTGGAAAGACCCAACAAAGTCATGGAGAAGAAAGAGAGAAGGGGCTTGGAAGTCCACGAGCATTCTGAGCCAGCTCCAGCACCAGCAGCAGCAGCAGCAGCAGCCAGAGTCAAGAGGGAAGCCATGGAAGCTCAGCCCAACGCCGAGGGTGGGGTCAGAGAGCCAAAGAGAGACCCCAGGAGCATCTCCAGAGCCAGACGGAATGGCTGGCTGCTGCGTGAATGCCAGGCCACTGCGGAGAGGCCCCCAAGAAGCCCTGATGTGGAGAAGGAAGAGAGAGACGAGAAGGGCTGCCTCCCGGGAGGCAGGTGGATGCCTCGTGGGGAGGGGGCCCTGAGCCGGGCAGACAAGGAGGTGAAGATGGCCGCTGAGGAGCCCAAGCCGGGCCGAGTGGCGGGCAAGAAGCCGAGGCTGGCCGACACCAACAGGTCTGACGTGGAAGCTCATTACCAGGTTGGCAAGGTCATCGGGGATGGGAACTTCGCGGTGGTCAAGGAGTGCAGGCACCTGCACAGCCAGCGGGACTATGCCATGAAGATCATCGACAAGTCCAAGCTGAAGGGCAAGGAGGACATCGTGGACAGCGAGATCTTCATCATCCGCAGCCTCTCTCATCCCAACATTGTGGAGCTGCACGAGGTCTACGAGACCGCCACTGAAATCTACCTGATCCTGGAATATGTGCGGGGGGGGGACCTCTTTGACGCCATCGTTGAGAACGTGAAGTTCAGTGAGCACGAGGCCGCATGCATGATCACAGACCTGTGCGAGGCGCTGGTGCACATGCACGACCAGAAGATCGTCCACCGAGACCTCAAGCCGGAAAATCTCTTGGTGAGTCTAGAGCTGGGGGAGGGGTAGGCCTACTGGGCAGGAGGCTATAGGGCACATGGCCTCTGGGGTGAGGCTTCTGGAGGGGAAAATGTTTTGTTTATGTTTTTAATTTTCCTTGGATGGGGGGAGGTCACTACCACGGCTAAATTATCTCCCCCCTCCCCCCATAGAGCCCTTCCTTGTAACAATAGGGGATGGTGTTTCCAATGGTGCTTTACCCTCATTACCTCGTTTGGTCATTCCAAAATGCCTGCCAGGCAGGCCCCATCATACAGATGAGGAAGCTTAGGCTCCAGAGGGGAAATGACTTATCCATGATAACTCGGTTTGTTAGTGGTAGAGGCAGCATCTGAACCTGAGTTCCTGATTCTTTTTTTTAACCAATGGTTTATCTATTTTATTGATTTTTTTTCATTAAGCTAGCTCCTAGTTTTATTTATTTGTTCAATGGTTTTTTTTCCAGTCCCCCTGCTTTCCAGTGAATGACCAAAAGCACTCTTCTCTGCCCTGGAACCATGACCAGCATCCCAACTCCCTACAGCCTAAAGGGCCAGGGCTCCTTTTAACCCTGGGGCTGAGACCAAGAACTGTGGAGGGCAGTGTAATGGGGTGCTGCCAGCAAAGGATCTCTTGTAATATCTCTTTCTGACCAGTTGTACAACCCCTTTGTGGATTGTAGACTGCAAACTCTAGAAGCCCCACCACCAAGGCAGTCACCCCCAAGGCCCACTGATGGCTTGCCAGGGCATAGCCTGTGCTGCAGAGCCCCCTCAAACCAATGCATCCTGGGTTGTCATCTATTTCTGGGTCCTTAGGTCACCTATAGGGAAGTATGTCAATCATCCTCTACGTTGGACCCTTACCTACTTACCATGAATTTCTTTCCCTTTGTCACATAGTTCACAGCAGCTTGTTAATTTATTTTGATTTATCAACAATCACTTCCATAAATTTCTGAGTTTTAAATTATCTCCCTCTCCCTCCCCCCCCCAAGAAGGCATGCAATCTGATATGGGCTATACATATACATTCCTATTAAACATATTTTCACATTAGTCATGTTGTAAGGAAGAATTAGAACCAATAGGAGGAACCACCAGAAAGAGAAAACAAAACAAAAGAAAAAAAAAGAGCAAATAGTATGCTTCAATCTGCTTTCAAACTCCATAGTTCTTTCTCTAGATGTGGATAACATTTTTCATCATGAGATTTTGGAGATGTCTTAGATCCTTGCTGAGAAGGGCTAAGTCTATCAATGTTAGTCATCGAACAAAGTGGCTGTTACTGTGTACAACGTTCTCCTGGTTCTGCTCACTTCATTGAGGTCCCGATTCTAAGTCCGTCTATTGCCCCCTTCTGCTTCTCTCTGGAGCCAAGAAGAGGAATTAAACAAAGCAAACAGAGCATCAACCATGTGTTCTTATTTCTATCCACTCCAGCCCCCTCATCCGGTCACCTTTTGGGCAAGTATTTGACTGGAAATTCCAGGAGCCTGACCCTTTTCTCTTGCCAGGTCTCTCCTGTAGACCATTTTCTCAGACCATGATTTCATAATACCGGAAGCCTCTCCCTCCCCTGTCCGCAGCTCACGAAAGGGAGGAGGTGAGCTAGTTTGGTGGAAAGATGGTTGACGGTTGTTGTCGAGCATGCTCCGAGAGGACCAAAACGACATCACTGTCGGGGCCGGGGTACGGTGTGTCCAAATGGGGCTGATCAGATCAGTACAAGCTCAGCAGGCTCTACCACAGGTTGGGGACATAGTCCATATGAACATTTGGAGTGGAGATGTCTCTAAATATGCACATCCCACTTTTCTTTTGAGTTGCTTCACTTCTGCTTCGCTCATAGAGCACAATGCCTTCTCTGATGTGGGCACACCATACTGAGCAGTCCTGTGCTGGTGTCTTCCATGTCACACAATCAATTCCAAAGTTCTTCAGAGAGATCTTAAGAGTGTCCTGGCATTACTTTTTCTGACTACCATGTGAGCACCTGCCTTGTGTGAGTCCTCTGTAAAATAGTCTTTTTGGCAAATGTAACTTTGGCATTTGAATAACATGGTCAGCCCTTCAGAGTTGTGCTCTCTGCGGTAGAGTTTGAATGCTTGGCAGTTCAGCTGGAAAAAGGACCTCAGTGTCTGCTACCTTCTCCTGCCAGGTGATCAGAATCTTCCTAAGACAATCAAATGCAAGTGATTCAATTTCCTGTCATGGCATTGGTAGAATGTCCAGGTTTCATAGGCATCCAACAATGAGGTCAGCCCAACAGCTCTGTAGACCTTCAGTTTGGTAGGCAGCCTAGTATCTCTTCTCTCCCACACTTTCCTCTGGAGCCTCCCAAACACTGAGCTAGCTCTGATGATGTATGCATCAACCTCATTATCAATATGTACATCCCTGGAAAGTATACTGCCAAGGTAAGCGAGTTTATCCACAGCATTCAGAATTTTTCCATTTGCTGTAATTGATGGTTCCATGTATGGATAGCACGATGCTGGCTGGTGAAAAATCTCTTTTGTTGATATTAAGTGTTAGGCCAAAATTAGCACAAGCAGCAGAGAATCGATCCATACTTTGTTACATGTCAGCCTTAGAGGCCGCATTGCGTGAACAATCATCCATGAACAAAAAGCCATGCACCAATTCTGCCTCCACTTTGGTCTTGGCTTGCAGCCTTTTCAAGTTAAATAATTTACCATCACTGCTGATGAAAAACCATGCTAAAAAGCATGAGAGCAAGCATGCAGCTGTGCTTCAGACCATAGCTGGTGGCTGGGAAAGTGTGAAAGCTTCATCCATCATCCAGAACCTGGGCAAGCCTGCTGTCATGGGACTGACCAGAACCTCCGGGGACAAGTCAGATTCGCATTCCTTTGATCTTTACAGTCAGAGACCATGCCTTGGACATAGTAGAGCTGGGCTTTTGGCTTCCATGGTATGACCACCCAGAGCCCCACCAACTCTTTGCCTCCTCTGGGCATGTGGAGGTGGGTGAGTAGTTGAGATGATTTGAAAATTCTTTCCTCTGACTCTAAAGATCTGACTTATCCCCAGTTGGTCTGGGGCAGGTGCTGGGCTGGGCAGCTGTCTGTCTTCTCCTGGCCCTGGCCTGGAATTAGGTGACTTGTCCAGGTTCACCCATCTAGTATGCGTCACAGGCAGGACTTGAACCCGGCTCCTCCTGGCTCTGAGACCAACCCTTTGTCCCTGATAGCACTGCTCAGAGTCATAGAATTCACCCACCAGCAAACCCTGACAGTTAGCAGCAGGGTGTCAGCTGGCCTCTGGCACTGGGTTAGCCTCATCCTCTTGGCTGTTGGCCACCTTCCTATCTCTTGGCCTTTCTGTGCTAAAGGGATGAAGCTGCCTCTTCTCCCATCCTAGCTGCCCCTCCTTCCATGAGGCTTGCTCAGGTTTAGAGCATGATGGAACAGTATTCATTCAAGGGTCTGTTTATAGCTGACTGACGAGCAGGAGAGATTCCATCTGTGAGCCTGCAGTGTTCTGGGCAGGTAGGCCTAGGATGCCAGTCCAGAGGAGTGGGTTGACCTTTTGGGCACAAGCCAAGCATTCCTTCCCTGAGGTCCCCAAGCAGCTCTTGGGATTCAGCCTCTTCTCCTGGACAGTGGAGGCTCCAGCTTGTGCTAATGGCTGTGCCCAGCCTTGGAGACCATTAGGACTGCCCATTCATAGTAGCAGGAGACTTGGAGGGGCATCCACTGGGACTGCTTGGGCAGTTTAAGACCTATGGGCACCAGATGGAATGAGCTGCTTCTGGATGAACAAATTGACTTCCTCTAAGGTTGTGCTTTCTTTGCATGTGTCTCTGATGGTTCACGCTCATGAATAATGAATAAGAGTACTTGTAGACTGCACCTGTGCTGACCTTCTGGGCAAACAAACTGAAAGGGTTGAGCTAGTGTCTGGAATCTTCCGTGGGGTCAGCTCTATGACGAATGGAGCTGAGGGAGGTGGATTGGAGAGCGTGGGCTCTGGGTAGACTGCAATGGCAGGAGCTGGGGACAGGCAGCGGCACTTCGCGCTGCTCCCAGCACACAGTAGGTGCTTCAGTGAGCGCTTGATGGCTGGCTGGCTGCAGCATCAGGCTCTCCTCTTCACTAGGCCATTCCCATCTCCCCCCTCACGTTCGTGGGTTTAGGTGTGGAAGGCGCTGACATCCTTGAGTTTTTGAGAAAGGGGCAGAGCTGGTGGTCCTGAGACTTTCTACCTTCACAGAAGTATGTGTTTTCATCAGCCACTGATCACAACATTTGTGAGCTGGAAGGCACACCACACGTAAAAGGAGTTCTCACTCTAACATCTCCAACAAGTGGTCAGCTGGTCTCTGCTCGAAGACCTGAGGGTTGAGGAGGGACTCACCACTTCGGGACAGCTCTGTGGCTAGGGAGGTTTTCCTGATCTCAAGCCTCAATCTGCCTCTTGGCAGTTTCCCCTAGCTCTGCCCTCTGGGGTCAAATGGAACAGGCCAATCCCTTGGCATGACAGTCCTTCACAGCCCAAAGACAGATCTTGGGTCCTCCCTGAGCCTTCTCTTCTCCAGCCTAAGTGCCTCCCCCTCCCAATTCCTTTAGCTGGTCATCGTTGAACCTGGGCATTCTTCAGCTAGTCAATATCTTTAAATCACATTGCCCAGACTCAACCCTAGTGCTCAGATGAGATCTGACAGGGCAGTGCGCAGTGGGACCACTGCCTTTCTATTCCTGGGAGCTCTGCCCTTCTTCATTAATGCAGCCTCAGAGGACATTAGCTTCTTTGGTGCCCACATCCCACTGCTGACTTGTATGGAGTTAGTGGGCCATTCAGACCCCCAGATCTTTGCCAGAACTGCTGCTATGTAGCATGAAGCTGATTTTTTGAATATTTGGTTTGATTTTATTCAGGGGTCAGGTGCTCTCTTACTGTCTCCTTGCTTATCTTAGCCCAGATTGTTCTGCCCTTTCTCAGATTTGTTCTCCTTGGCACAGAGGAAGCAAAAAGTATCTGCGTATCTCTACGTTCTCTCTGGTTTCATTTGTCATGGTCCTATCTACCCCAAGCACAGGGTCCCTTTTTCTTATAACCTAACTCTTGGTCTCTTCTCCCTGTCTGTTTCTCTGTCCCTGTTTCTCTCTGTGTCTGTCTGTCTGTCTGTCACACACACACACACACACACACACACACACACACACACACACACACTCTTCCTCCTTGCGCTCTCTGCCCCCCTCCCCGGTCAACCTCAGTTCCTCCTGACCTGAATGCTGAAGGGTTCCCATCATTATTCTGGTAGAAGTGTGTCCTGCTCTGATGGCTACAAGGCTCAGTTACTTGGCCTTGTCTGCCTGATCCCATGGCCCATCATCTATCCATGACACCATAATGCTTCCCAAGATACACATAGTCAACACTTAAAACATGGCTATTGAATGGGGGGGAGGTATTTAAAAACCAGCTGAACTCCGGGATCTGGGCTGGCCTTGGAAAAGCCAAATGTTTCCATGGAGTTATTTGAGAGATTTCCCAGTCCCTAAAGGTTCTCCCCCAGACACTTTGACAATGGGGTAGCTGAGGAAGCCACCATTTTGGTCACTGGTTTCTTGTTAGCAAACAGTGGTATTAGTCATTAACCCTATCATGAATTTGTATCTCAGATGCAGCTGAAAATAAGACCCCACAAGATACAGGACATAGGGTGGGGCCACTTTCTATTCTCACTAACAGAGAGGGGAAGTCTGGGTGAGGGCACTGGTAGATTGGCCAGCTGAAAACAGCTGTAGGAGGGAGGGCCCTAGAGGCTGGAGCGGATGGGTCTGGACTGAATGGGCTGTGGGGAAGATGGAAATGAACATCGTGGACAAGCCTCCCAGTCTGGACTGAGGCGGACTGAGGCGGACTGAAGCAGACTGAGCTGAGCAGGTCACATCTTCTGGGCTGGTTGATATGGGAATACAGGCACATGCTGCCATCTTGTGACCAGAAGTCAGGGTTGCAAGGTCTAGGTGGCCCGTGCCTACTGTGTGCCTGGGGTTCTTCTAGGGGCTGAGGAGATGAAAACAATTCACAGTTCCCACGCTTGTATTTTATTAGAATAATTTCTATCTAATTAGGAGGGCGTGTCATCTTAGAATAATTCCATTACATCCAAATTGAATCCCATTCAACAATCCTCTATTAGGTGGAAAGGCACTCACTCTACTGGGCATGCAGAGAGAAAAGTGCCTACAGGTCCTGGGGAAATGTGGCCCAGGTTCACAGATCCAGGCTCTTCTTAATGTCAAGAAGTTACCCAGACCCCTCCCTTCCTCTGATGGTCATCCACTTAGCCAGTGTTGATTGAGAAAATGCAAGATGACTGTAGAGGATTTTTTTTTTTGGCAATTGGAGTTAAGTGACTTGCCCAGGGTCACACAGCTAGTAGGTGTTAAGTATCTGAGGCTGGATTTGAACTCAGGTCCTCCTGACTTCAGGGCTGGTGCTCTATCCAGTGTACCACCTAGCTGCCCCTAACCTTAGAGGATTTTAGACTCCACAAGTGAATGGGTATGTCATCAGCCCCAGCAGCCTCTCTGGGTGCTGAAAATCAAGATGCAAGCAACTGTTCTGGGGGCACAGATTGACCTAAAGACTCTTTGGCCCTCAGACTGGGAACCACTGGTTTAGGGCAGTGTTTCCACATGTGTGCATGTGCATGTGTTTCCATGCGTGTGCATGTGCATGTGTGTGTGTGTGTGTGTGTGTGTGTGTGTGTGTGTGTGTGTGTGTGTGTGTGCGCGCGAGCGCATGTGTGTGTGTGGGGGGCAGGGATGGCCAAAGTTGCCTCCCATATTTGAGGTGCTGTTGAGTAGAAGCTTCTTTTCCTTGGTTACAGTGATAGAACTAGCAGTGGTGACAGAAAGCTAGGGGAGGCAGCACAAGGAAGGTCTTAATGATTAGAGCGATCCCAGAAGGGAAGGGGCTGCCTCAATGAGTAGTGAGCTCCCAATCACTGGAGGCCTTCAATGAAGCAGAGGCCAGCTAACCATTGGTCAGCAATGTTCTAGAAGGCATTCTCCCTGTAGGAGAGAAGGGATGACTCAGATGGCTTGAGGTCTCCTTCACCCTAGAAGTCTAAAGTCCTGAGAGGGTCAGAGAGTCCCTCGGGAATTAGACCCCCACATGGGGTGCAGGGTCAGGGAAGGCTTTGGCAAAGAGGTGGGATGTAGGGATGACCAGGATTTAGACCAGCAGACGCTGATGGGTGGAGCATTCCAGGTGAAGAAAAGGGCACGAATAGCAAATGTTCTGGCTTGTCTGGAGCAAAGGAGGGTATGATGGAAAGGCATCAAAGACCTTAGTGTGCATCCTAGATGGCATCCCCGTTTGTTCCCTGGGTGAATCTTGGACAAATCTCTTTTCTTCTTTCTGGGCCATCTTGTCCAGGGTTGGGAGGGCTGGTGTTTTGCACATAGCAGGTATAGAATTGAGTGGAGAGCTGAATCTGGGACTTTGCTTTGCCACAGGTCCAGCGAAATGCAGACAAATCCACCACCTTGAAGCTGGCTGACTTTGGCCTCGCCAAGCATGTGGTCAAGCCCATATTTACCGTGTGTGGGACGCCCACCTATGTGGCCCCAGAAATTCTCTCGGAGAAAGGTAACTAGCAGGCCGCTGTGGGAAGGCCTTCCGGCAGTGTGCCCACCTCCTGAGCGTAGTTTTAGGCTTCCTGCCCTTCCCCTCTACAATGGGTCCTGGCTGCCTCCTGCTGCTTGTCTACTTTGCTGCTTCAAGGTTGTCTGAGCTTCAGATGAAGTCAGACTGTTGGGGAGGAGGCCTGCCATGCGGTGACTGGGCTGGGGGAGGGAGCTCTTGGACTTGCAGCAGGCTTGAGGACACGTAGAAGCTGGGATGAGCAGGATGGGGGAGAATGTTAGGGGAGCCAGGGTGCAGAGGCCATGTCTGAAGATGAAGGGAGCTGAGCCATTTCTCTGGCTAACTACCCCAGCTCAGCTCTAAAAGGGAAAAGGAGACATTTCCTCCAGAAAGGAGGTTAGATCAGGGATCAGGAGGAGCTGATCTGCTTCCCTTTCCCAAGTATGATGAGTAGGCTTTGTGGAGGCTGAGGAGGCAGGGAAGGCTGGCCCAGAGACCAGAATGAGCACAGCTGTGTCCAGGGACGCTGCAGACCAGGCTGAATCTGGCAGAGTGTGTTTTGGGTAGTAGGAAATGAGGCTGCTTAATTTATGCAGTGCCTTGAAGGCCTGGTGGGAGGAATTTGAACTTGTTGTGGTGGGCTGGAGGGGACCAGGGTAGGGCCTTGAGTGGGAAGATTGGCTTTGAGGGCCAGGCAGGAGGGATTAGGAAATTTGTAACCAGAATCCAGGCCAGAAGAGGAGGGATGGCTCCCACCACTGGGGACAGCAAGGCAGACTGAGCTGGGAGCGAGGCTTTAACAAATGCTTGTGGGTTGGATGGAAGCAGTGACAGACAGATCGAGGAAGCTGAAAGAAAGCCAGGGTCAGTGATTGCTCTCCAATTGGGAAAGTGGACCAGCAAGGGCACCAGGGACCTCGAGAGGACTCGGGATCTCACTCTTCAAGGCGTTTCTGAGTCCTGATCCTGAGATGGTAAGAATGGCGACAACAGGGGACATGTTGATGATACTGTAAGATTCTCCCAGCTTCCTCCCAAACAGTCTACGCCCACTACTGTGTTCTGTCTGCAGATGTGCTGAGCTTGTCATTTAGACATCTGACTGAGTCACCGATAATGGGTTAAATAGCCTAGAGCCTGAGGGCACCGCTCTAGAGCCCACCCTCAAGTCCATATGGATTCATTCTTTGGGTCCAGTCTGCCAAAGCTCAGGTCTGACCACTCTCCGCCTGGCTCTATCCACTCACTGCCTCTCTGATTCATCCCTCTTCACACCTACTACTGTCCAGCCACCTGGGAATGCTTCCTGTCCTAGGTCCCATGTTGGTCCCTTGGCTGGGTCCCCCATGCTCCTTCCTCATTTCCTCCTCTCAGAATCAGAGGATTCCAGGATCCCAGGCATGGAGCTGAAAGGAGTTCAGAAGCCATCTCATCGAATCCCCCTCATTTTACACATGAGGGGACTTCCTCCAGAGAAGGGGAGTGACTTGTCTAAGGTCACCCAGGAGGTGAAGGGCAGAGCCAGGATTCAAACCCAGGACCCTGGACTCCAACACCCACTCATCAGCCATATCATGCCACCTTCCTAGCAGCAGACCAGGAATCCCTCATTTCCTTCAAGGCTTTGGGCGACTCCCACACCCTGCTGTTGATAACAACTGTGTTGTTGTTAGGAATCTCAAAAGACTAGATTATATAGAAGTGATCCGTGAGAGATACTTATTATATCTGTTATATCTCACTGATCAAAGGGGGGAATGGAGAAGGTTGAGACTGAATCAGTATCATTTGCTCACTGATCCTATTTATAAGTAATTGATTTTGTCCTCTAACTGTCTGACTCTTTGTGTCAGAACTTAGTACAGAATTCATCTGGCCCAGAAGGAGTTAATTCCAGAAATCCAGCTCTCCTGCTAATCACTGGTCTATTCTTGTCTTCAGGAGTTTCGCTCATCTTGGGGAAAGAAAGGGAGTTGGGCCTGAGATCTTTACCCCACTAGACCATCCTTCCAGGATGTCTGGTTTGCTGTCCAAAAGTCTGGGCCACTATCTCTCAGTTGAACACAAACAATGAGCCCTTCTTAGCCTCATGGGAGAAGAAAGGGGGGCCATGGAGAGCCCCCCATTACCAAACTTCCAACCAATCTCATAGTTCCTTGTGTCTCAATTTTGTAACTAGGCATGTCTTCAATCACATGATGTCACCTACACTTTGTTCTGTGCTCCCCAAACCTATAAAAGGGGAACTGTCCTTTTGCTCAGGGTCTTTGGCCTTAATGGAGTCAAGCCATGAACCCATTTATTGATAGGTAGCATGCCCCTGCTAATAAATATTATCTTTTGCAAAGAACTGCCTCAGTTTACCATTTTGTTAAAATTCTATTGCCACAATATCTGTTGCATATATTCTGCATATTTCTGTATATGTCTGAGTTGTTTCCTCTCGCTAGAGAGTAAGCCCCTTGAAGGCAGGACTATACTGCTTCCCTTTTGTCTTTATTTATATCGCTACTGTCTTGCACAACAACTCCTGGCACATTTTATTGTTATTAGCCATTTTTCAGTTGCATCCCATTCTTTATGACCCTATTTGGGGCTTTCTTGGCAGAGATACTGGAGTGGTTTGCCATTTCCTTCTCCAGCTCATTTTACCGATGGGGTAACTGAGGAAGACAGGATTAAGTGACTTGCCTAGGGTCACACAGCTAGTAAGTGTCTGAGGCTGGATTTGAGCTCAGGTCTTCCTAACTCCAGGTCTGGCACTTTATCCACTGTGCCGCCTGGCTACCCTCCAGCCAGATGGTAGGCGTATAATAAATACTGTTGGTTGCTTCATTCACTCTTGAATTTGCTGAGCTTTACTCTCATCCAGCCCCTTGTTCCTTGTGAACGAATCCAGGGATGAGAAACTTTGTCTGATCCAGCTAGACTGACAGTGTCTGACACCTTTGTCTCAAGGGGGAGGAAGTGCCCCGTCTGACCTAACTCATCTGGCCTGACTTGTCTTTGATGAAGCCCCGCTGGCTTTAGGAGGTCAGAGGAGGCTATGGAACTGGCTGAGGAGGTAGAGGAGAGGCCAGAGAGGGAAATGGTGGCATCCTCATGACCTGGGGATGAGAACGTTTCTAGGTACAAACAAGCCTCACTGTTGGTGCAATCCTGCCGAGGACAGGGAGGATGGAGGCTGAAGAAAACACCTTGAACTTGTCCTCCCCAGGGGGGACCTTGGAGAAGAAGCTTCAGGAGTGCAGGAGGCTGAGGGATGAATGGAGAGGCTGGCAGCTGGCCAGAGCAGGTGCTGGAGGAATGGGGTGGCAGAGTGAAGATGAGTGGAGGGCAGGAGGAGGAGAGCCGAGCCGGCCTTCCCCCTCCTCGTGCTGTGGCTTCTCAGCCCAGACCCAGGCGTTGAGGGCCGGGGCCGGGACTTGGCAGAGCCATCTCAGCCTCGCGGGCCTTTCTTCCCCAGGGTACGGGCTGGAGGTGGACATGTGGGCAGCCGGCGTGATTCTGTACATCCTGCTGTGTGGCTTCCCTCCCTTCCGCAGCCGAGAGAGAGACCAGGAGGAGCTGTTCGCTATCATTCAGCAGGGCCACTTTGACTTCCTCAGCCCGTACTGGGACAACATCTCAGAGGGTAAGTGAGGGACTCAGCCGTCCCGGGGCTAGGAGAGGGAGTGAGGGAGGGAGCCAGGGGTCCCCTCTCCAAGGTCCTCTGGCCCCCAGAGCTGAGCACCCATGAGCTCCCACTGCTGGCCCCAAGCCATCGGAGCAGCGCTTCAGCTCCCAAAGAAGGAGTCTATACTGGGGAGCACAACCAATTCCCCTAATGCTCTATCTTCATGCTGATTCTTGTGGAACCTTCTTCAGGAAGCTTCCAGAAAGTGTGTCCCCCTCTGGTCTCTGATAACAGAAGCTATGCTTATTAACATCAAGCAAAGTGCAGCTTGGGAGACCTCTGCTTGTCCTAGCTGCCACCTAGGAGAGGAGGGACGTCCCGAGGATGGGGGGAGGGGTCTCCAGAGCCCAGAACATTTCTGGGCTTCCTCAGTGACCTAGAATCACTCTAAGGAACAAGGCCTAGCCATCTACATGGAAACTGCTAAATGGATGAAGCCGACCTCTCATCCAGCCTGACGCAATTGGAGAGCTGGTCTGCTGAGTTGGTCTACCATCCATTCACCTGGGGCAGGCCCTGCAGAGAGGCAATGAGCTGGACCCAGATCTGACCATGGGAAGGATGTGCTGCTTCTCAGCCCCAAACCTAGCTCTTTAACCCCCATTTTCAGTGGTGATGCTGTTGTCCCTGATGATCTAGTGACTTTGAGGGCCATGGAGAGATGGTGGGGGCCTTCAGGTTGGCCATAGCCTATTTCTGGTGCTAACACCTTCTCAGGAAGTGAGGGGTATCACTGAAGAAACGAGTGATTGGAAGAAGAGTGAGGCTAACAGATGGGCAGGCCAATGCAGCCTGGGTAGGACAAGTCTCCTGTGGTGGACCTATGGGAAAACATGGATGAAGCTGCCCGGGGGAGTCTTACTAGGGGGAGGCTGTAGTACAAGGGGATGTGCCCACCAAGGAGGGCACAGACAAAGCAAAGCAGCCTCAATGTCCTAGGCCCCATATCGTGCAGGGGGAAGAGTGCACCTTGCTCCCACTTGGGGCACTTGGGGCACTTTGGCCGGCCACCGGATGTCCCTGGGCCTTGCTCTCTTTACCTTTAGAATGAGAGGGTTGGAGCAGTGGCCTTCAAAGTCCCAACAGCTCGACGTCTCTGGGCCTACAATTCCCAGATGTCTGGTGATCAAAGACTTAGAAGGCTCTTTCTTTCAAATGGGGGCAGAGTTGGGGGCACAGGAAGCTCTGGAAGACACAGGGGGCAGGGCCAGATGGGCTATTTGGGGGAGTAGAAAACTGGATCCTCTAATCTATGGCCCCCCTTCCTGACTGTAGTTTGATCTGAAACTGACTAACTGAGATGTCTGCTTCTTCAGCCTGTGGAAGAAAGTAAAGAAGAGGCAGAGAAATGATGCAGTGTGTGTGTGTGTGTGTGTGTGTGTGTGTGTGTAAGTGTGCATATGTGCACAAACATGTGTAAATGTGTGCTTGTCTATACAAGTAAGACTGTGTATACAAGTGTGTGAAGTGTGTATGTGTATGCCTGTGTGTGCCTGTGTGTATGCATGTTCTTGTGTAAGTGTGCATATGTGCACAAACACATGTAAATGTGTGCTTGTGTGTACAAGTATGTAACACTGTGTATACAAGTGTGTGAAGTATGTATGTGTATGCCTGTGTATGTATGCATGCATGTTCTTGTGTGTGTGTGTGTGTGTGTGTGTGTGTGTGTGTGTGAGAGAGAGAGAGAGAGAGAGAGAGAGAGAGAGAGAGAGAGAGAGAGATTTTCATTGTGTGACCAGGTGGACACTCACCTCAGAGCAGTTGGGGACCTCTTGGGTGCACATGTGGAATTAAGGTGAGGTCTGGGAGCTGTGAGGGGGAATTGTGGCGCCTTGTGCATCAAGGGAAGGAAATATCAAGGTGACTAAACAGGGGACATACTGGGGGTGGAGTCAGGGAAACCTAGGTCTGTATTTTGCCTCAGATACTTGCTAGCTGTGTGATCTTGGACAAGTCACTGAACGTAACACTCCTGGGAATAGAGGAGGCAACCAGTAGTGCAGCTGCCTCCACAGGAGAGTCCTCTCATATGCCAGGAGTCCATTTTGCCTTGTCTTTTCTTTTCTCTATGATTCTTCAACAGCTGCCAAGGATCTGGTGCGCCAGCTGCTGCTGGTGGACCCCAAGAAGCGCTACACGGCCCACCAAGTTCTTGAGCATCCATGGATCAAGGCTGCTAGGAAGGCGAGCCCTGTTAGCCTGCAGACAGACGTGACAGCAGCCAGTGAGCTCCCCTCTAGGAGTCAGGGCAAGAATGCCTTGCAAGGAGATACACAGGGGAGAGGGCCTGCCCTGTGTCTGTGAGCAGCCTCGAGGGCCTGCCCTTAGGGAAGCAGCAGACAAACCCACAAAGGCAGAGATGGATGAGGGGGATTGTTGGGTATTCGTGTATGGAGAAAGATAGACAAAAAATGGTCAAAAAAAGGGAGAGAGGGAGGGAAAAAAGAGGGGAGAAGGGACAGAGAGATTGAGAGATAGTGACAGAGAAGAGAGGGAGGTGAGAGACACTCACAGAGAGAGAGAGAGAGAGAAGACAGAGAGAGAGAGAGACAGAGAGAGAGAGAGACAGAGAAAGAGAAGAGAGAGGGAGTGTGTGTGTGACAGAGAGAGAGGAGAGAGAGAAAGAGAGAGAGAGAGAGAGGGAGAGAGGGAGGGAGAGAGGGGGAGGGAGGGAGAGAGAGACAGAGAGAGAGCGAGAGATAGAGAGAGACAAGAGAGAGGGAGTAGGGGACAGAGAGAGAGGAGAGGGAGTGTGTGTGTGTGTGACAGAGAGAGAGGAGAGAGAGAGAGAGAGAGAGAGAGAGAGAGAGAGAGAGAGAGAGAGAGAGAGAGAGAGAGAGATTCATCTTCAGCAACGGTGCAGACATCGGGCTCTCCCTCCTCACATGCCTCTCTTCCACACTCCCCCAGCAGATGGTAAGCCCCTTGAGGGCAGCCTCTCTGGCCTATCATCGTGTCCCAGCGCCTTGTACTAACAGGCACCTCACAAATGTTTGTTGAATTAAATTGTTTTGTATATCTGAGGTATTTAAAACCCGTGACTTTTAAAATGTATAAATAACCTTGCTGATGACTTTGTTACTGTAATTGTTACAGAGTAACAGGATGTGTTTGGTTCCCTTTTGCAATGAACTTCACCCGTGTAACGAGTGGAAGGCAGCGCTGATTAGGGAAAGGCCTAAATCACGCCCCGAGGGCGGCTCAGGGCCGGGACCTTCTGGGGAATAAAGAGTTTCACGAGAGCCGCGCGTGGCTTCTGCTTAGCGGTCTGCTCCCCGCCCCTGCCCCTCCCCTTTCCAGCTCCGTCCTCCGCCCTTCCCGGAGATATAGAATCACTCCGCAGCGCAATACTGCGCGGTGGAGGTGCGATGATCCAGTGGACAATGTTTGGGCCCCGACCGAGCTTAAGGACGCGTCTTCACGCTGCTTGGCTCGAGTCCTGCCCAGGAAAGCTACGATTCGGTGTCTCCCCCCCCTCCCCCCAGCCGCAAATCGCAGTCACTCCTTTGTTCTTGGCGCGCCTTTATACTGGGTTGTCTAGATGCTCCCCAATGCCCCGGAAGAATCCATCAGCTGTCAATCACTTACTGAACGACCTCTCTGGGCCGGGCACAAAGACAACAATGCCCCCGCCCTTTGCAGGGGCTCACGCTCTAACGGGGAGGCGGCATGCTGCGCTGCGGTCGCACCGGCATCCTGCCACCTCCCCGCCCTGGGCATTTTCACTGGCATGCTCTCCCTCCCGCCTCCAGCTAAATGCCCACAGGCTTCCCCGATCTTAGGCTCCCTCCCTCGGTTTGTTTCCCAACTCATCCTGTCTCTCTGAGTGTTTGAACACAGTTGTTTGCATGTTGTCCCCCCCCCCCCCCCCGGAGTGTGAGAGCCCCTTGCCTTTGACTGCCCGGTGCTCGTCACATAGTAGGTGCTTAACCAAGGCTTGTTGAGTGATTTATTGATGGACAAAAAGTAGCTCAGAGGGAACTTCAGAGAGCACTGAGCTGGCGGCTGGGAGGGCCAGGCAAGGTCTCATGGAGAAGGTGGCCATGAGTTGAGGCTTGAAGGGAGCAGGGGGGTAGAAGCAAGGAGGGAGAGTTTTGCAGGTCTGAGGGATGACCAGTCCTGAGGCATGAAGATGGGAGCTGGAGTGTGGCTTTAAAAACATCTCCACATTTGCTGGCCTGACTCTCCTCACCTGGCACCGAGCACAGCCTGGCCTTTCACCAGGAGCAACGTCACTGACTCTCATGGCCTCAGAGCTGGATGGGACTTCGGAAGCTAGCTACTGATGTCTGGACAGGAATCTCTTCTCCAGCATCCCAGAGAGGGGCTCATCCCGTGTTTGCCTGAAGAGGAGGCCACCACTTCCAGGGGCTTCCTAGTCCTCGAGTGCAAACCTAAGTATTAGAAGTTTTCTCAGACGCAGAACCTAATTCTATCACATTGCACCTTCCCTTATTGCTCATGGTTCTGCCCTTTGACCCCAAGAAAACCCAGTTGAATTCTCTGTTGTAGCCACAAGCAATCCTGACTCTGTGGCCAGACTTGTGGTGATGAGCATTCCCTACATCGTTTTGGAGGAAAAGGAGAGAAGCAATGCTTTGGGCTCCCAAAACCTGTGCCAGTGATGGTGGTGGCGAGGGCAAGCCTGGCAATCCCACCAAACTGGAAACAGCTCCTATTTCTTTCTTTCTTTTAGGCAATTGGGGTTAAGTGACTTGCCCAGGGTCACACAGCTAGTGTCAAGTGTCTGGTCTGAGGCCGTATTTGAACTCAGGTCCTCCTGACTTCAGGGCCGGTGCTCTATCCACTGGGCCACTCAGCTGCTCCGAAACAGCTCCTATTTCAAATGAGAGGATATTTGTAGGGCACTTAGCCCAGTGCCTGACACACAGTAGATGTTATAAAAATGTTTATTCCTTACTCCCTTCTGTTTCCTCCTGTTCCATTCTCCTCCTCCCATTCCCTTTGTGTCCTTTCCCTTCTTTTTTAAAATGATGTTATTTTCCCCCATTTACATGTTAAAACAATTAAAAATTTTCTTAAAGTTTTGAGTTCCAAATTCTATGCCTCCTTCCTTCCACTTTCCCCTTCCTGAGATGGTAAGCAAGCTGATCTAGGTTATATATGTGCAATCATCTAAAACATCTCCATATTACTCATTTTGTACAAGAAGACTTAAACAATGAAAAAGAAAGAGAAAAAGAAAGAAGGAAAGAAAGAAAGTGAAAACTAGCCTGCTTCAGTCTGTATTCACATGCCATCAGTTCTTCCTCTGGAGGTGGATCGTCTGCTTAATCATGAGCCTTTGGGATTGTCTTGGATCATTGTATTGCTGACAGTAGCTAAGTCATTCACAGTTCTTCACCGTATGATGTTGCTGTTACTGTGTACAATGTTTTCCCGGTTCTGCTCACCTTGCTTTTAATCAGTTCATGTAAGTCTTTCAAGGTTTTCTGAAAATATCCTGCTTGCCATTTCTTATAACACAATAATATTCCATCATAATTATATACCCCAGCTTGTTCAGCCATTCCCCAACTGATGGGCATCCCCTCAATTTCCAATTCTTAGTTGCCACATAAAGAGCTGCTACAAATATTCACTTTCCTCTTAATAACTCTCCATCAATTGTAACAGGTGCATTTCATAGAAGAAAAAACAGATTTAGAGTCAAAATGAATTACCCTGAGTCAATCAATCAGCCCTTATGAAATGGTAACTATGTGTCTGGCACTGTGTTAGGTGCTGGCAATAGAAGTCCAAAGAATGAAACAGGCTCTGCCCTCCTGGAGCTGACATCCTTATGGGGGAGGGAGCAAGTGCATATATAAATGTAAATAGCATAGAATAAAGACAAGCAGTACAGATAAATAGATGGGAGTTGAGTAAAAGGTTGGGGGGTCACTAACAGGGGGGCATCAGAAAAGGCTTCATGTGGAAGATGCTGCTCGAGCTGTGTCTTGAAGGAAGAAAGAGAGTCTGAGGCAGGAGTAGAGATAGAGTGCATTCCAGGCACAGGGGGATGACCAGGGCAAAGGTGCAGAGATGCAAGGTGGATTGTCATATGTGAGTAACAAGGAGAATAGATGAATGAATGGAAAAGCCTTTATGAAGTGCTTGCTGTGTGCCAGGCACTGTGCTAAGCACTGGGGATATTGAGGACAGTCCCTGCCCTCGAGCAGCTCACATTCTTTTTTTTGTTGTTGTTGGTGAGGCAGTTGGGGTCAAGTGACTTGCCCAGAGTCACACAGCTAGTGAGTGTTATGTGTCTGAGGCCAGATTTGAACTCAGGTCCTCCTGACTCCATGTCCAGTGCTCTATCCGCTGTGCCACCTAGCTGCCCATAAGAAGGGTAGACAACACATGTGGGGCAGTGGTGGCCAGGGCAGAGGAAGAACCTAGGGCTAAAGCCTGCTAAGCCCACAGAAACTTAATTTCTTTTAAAAATATTTATTTTCCCAATTACATGTAAAAAATTTTAAGTTTTTTTTAAATTGAGTTCCAAATTCTCTCCCTCCTCTGTCCTCTCATTGAATATAGGTTGTACATGTGCAGTCATAAAAAACATATTTCAATATTAGTCATGTTGTTAGCCCCCCCACCCAAAAGCACACAAAAAAAGTAGAAAAAAGCCTTGCTTCATTCTGCATTCAGACCCCATCAATTCTTTCTCTGGAGGCAGATTTTTCATCATAAGTCCTCTGGAATTGTCTTGGATCACTGTCTTGTTGAGAAGAATTAAGTCATCCACAGGTGATAATTGTATAATAGTGTTATTGTGTACAGTGTTCTCTTGGTTCTGCTCATTTCACTTTGCATCTGTTCATATAAGTCTTTCCAGGCTTTTCTGAAGGCATCCTGCTCATCATTTATTATAGCACAATGGCATTCCATCAAAATCATACATTGTAACTTGTTCAGCCATTCCCCAATTGATGGGCATCCCCTCGATTTCCAATTCTTTGCCACCACAGAAAGAGCTGCTATAAATATTTTTGTACATGTGAGTCCTTTACCTTTTTTTTTTTTGCAATCTCTTTGGGATATAGACCTAGTAGTGGCGTTGCTAGGTCAAAAGGTATGCATGGTTTTATAGCCCTTTGGGCATAGTTCCAAATTGCTCTCCAGAATGGTTGAATCAGTTCACAACTCCACCAACAGTGCATTAGTGTCTCAGTTTTCCCACACCTTCTCCAACATTAGTCATTTTCCTTTTCTGTCATATTAGCTAATCTGACAGGTATGAGGTGGTACCCGAGAGTTATTTTAATTGCATTTCTCTAATCAAAAGTGATTTAGAGCACTTCTTCAAATGCATATAGATAGCTTTGTTTTCTTCATCTGAAAACTGCCTGTTGACCACTTATCAATTGGGGAATGACTTATATTCTAATAAATTTGACTCAATTCTCTATGTATTTGAGAAATGAGGCCTTAATCAGAGAAA